ACAGCCTCATTGATAACAAGGCAATCTGTTGTCTCACTGCTCTCTCCAGCCAAGCTGTTTTGCTGTGTCAATTCAACAATTTTACAAATGCTTTCTTTATTCACAGCCTCATTGATAACAAGGCCATCTGTTGTCTCACTGCTCTCTCCAGCCAAGCTGTTTTGCTGTGTCACTTCAATTTTACAGCCATTCCTTTTATTACTTCTTTCTTCTTTATAGCAATATCCATTATCCAAAAAAGGCTCAAAACCTTCATCACCACTGCAATTCTCTTGCTGAATTGATGCTTCTGTACTGTTGACAATATCGGCAGTTTTGGTGTAGATGGAGGTGCAGCCATTATTACAGCCATTGTCATCTGTCTGTGTACCAATAGTGCACCACTCTTTGTAGACAACTGGCTGACCAATCATGATGCATGTTTCATCTGCTGAATCCTGAAAGGACAAAATACAAACTAAGGACATATTCAACGTTAAAAACGTATTGTCAAATAATTTTAAAACGCAATGCAATGCATTACAGTAAGTACTACAATGCAATGCAATACAAATGAAATACAATAAAATGATTTTTAATGTCGATATAAACACAGTCAGGGAGCATTCTTATGGTCTCCTGCAGAGGAGGGAACAGTAGTACCCCACAATGCATTGCGTTTCAGACTATATTACCGGTTTTTATGTGACGTCATCACTTGTKTTTKGTCTTGGCCGAGTGAAGATCAATGGCGGGAAACTTTGACCCGTTCGYCAATTTCATCTCTAGAATTTCGATTATAGAGATGAAGAGACTCTCAAAGACTCTTCTTTTTTATACATTCATTGTATAAGCAAGAATAATTTTCAGGTATCGATAAAAGGAATTGTTTTTTTTTAGACCTTATTTGTCGACAAGTGGACTGTTTTGTAGATAAAATCGATAAGGAAATTGTCGAAGAGGCAGGTTGCTTTGACTCCTGTCGCTGTGGACGGTCAAAAGGTTGAAAAAACTGTTTGATAGAATAACAAGTCCTACTTTAGTCCGTGTTTTTATTTCGTCAGATTTAGAGGTTAGTAAAAACTTGTTTTAATTGTTTGAAATTACTTGAAATGAGCTTAAAACTGAAGTCCGGCTTTAATGTTAAGCCAAAGTTGTTGTTTTTTGTTTTGTTTTTTTTGCATTGCAAGAAACTGTTTATAAATAAACAGTCAGTCTTACTTTGTTCACTAGTTGTTTGATCTTGTTTGATCTTTCAATGCTGCATAAGAAACCAAATGCGCGTTTTGTATAGTAAGCTCATTTAAATAAACGTACGATGACACGAGTTTGTTCTTTTAGACATGTTTTATATTGAAAATCGTTCAAAAAAAAGGTTCAAACATATACTAATGTGCAATTTGACACTCGTATTTCAGTGTGTTTTATGTTCAACTTTTTTGTGTGGCAGAAATAGTAGCATAGCTCGCTGATAGCGATATCAACCTTGCGCCTAATCAAGATACGAATTTCTCCTGAACTTTGCAAATTTCAATGGTTTTCAAGCTCTATTTAGCATATGAAATCATGAAGACTTTTTGAGACTTTTTTGACTGTACCTTCAATTGTATGACTTATTTTCTATACATCTGACTTAAAGTAAAGTTTTAAAAATAGCTCAAAGAACAGGTGTAAAAACAGCACTATTTTTAACCGATCGTCATGTTATATAATAGATGAGGTGACGGTTTCGGCCGCCATTTTGTTCCGGTAGGCAAAGTGTCGCAAAATAACAAGGAATAACCGGGAAATCGATGTCAAATAATTCTCGCTGAATTCAAATTCCGAAAGAATTATCAATTGCAAACGTTAGATACTGCAAAAAGGAGTTAACTRGCAAAATTTGAAAGGCGTACTTGATCTAGAGAGCGAGTAAACTCATTTTTAGTTCTCCATACATTTCTTTGTATTTTTTACGCGCGTCACGCACTGATGACCCCGGAAATGATAACGAAATGTATTTGTATCTCTCTGGACCGGAAACTTACTACCAGGCATATCACCGGAAATAGCAGCCATTTTATCAACAAACCACGCGCGCAAAGCATAAAGGGATACTACTGATATCTCCTCTGGGTCTCCTGAGCACCTTGGCTCATGTTACAAGCGCTCAACAAGGACAATACAATACCAAGATACATGTACTAATCAAAAACATGATATAAATCTACAAAAAAAAAATAAGTGTAAGCCTTAATGCAAGTTTAGGCACAATGCAGGCAGTACAATGCAAACAATGCTATTCCAAAAAATACTAAAATAAGAAAAATCTAGGCCCGAAAGCATTTTGCACGCACACAGGTGTGCTACTTTTAAGACCTTTGATCTCATTAGTGAATTCATGTCATGTCATGAACATCATTTATTTATAATGAGCATTATTAATATTAGCATTATTCATTATTTGTTGTTTTCATGTTTTCTACTAACATCAGTAGGCCACTTGTGTTCTCCTGTCACTTTGTTGTAGATAAACAGAGTCTCGCCAGACTTACACTTGTATTCTACCCAGTCAGTATCCATCATGGTAGACCAGACCTTTAAACAATAAATCAGTTAGCAGTCTTTACAACAGAATTGAATGCTTCACTGTCATTACATCCAGCATGAAAACTGCACTAAATCAATGAGAAGCAAACAAACAAACAAACAAAAAAAAACAAGCACAACAAAAACAACATTATAGAACACTTTTTTTATTTTCATTTTACTTTAAAAAAAAAAACAACAATATAACACACTAATTGCTAATTAATACTAATTCTGTTATCACAGTTTTTTGTTAGGGTTTGTACTATTTTGAAGGTCTAAAATTCCATGACTTTCTGTGACTTTTTCAATRGCTTTTTCATCATTTCCAATCACAACAACAGAGAAATCCACTTGACATACAATACAAGCTCTTTGTTTATGTGACCTTCAACTGGTTGCAATTTGGCAGCATTTGAATTATCAGAACTACATGTAACTACTTTGTGAAATACCATGCATTTGTTTTGAATTTGTTTGGTCCCTAGGTAAAAYTGGGACGATTAACATTTCAGTCCCATCATATACAGGCTCTTAGTGACAAAACAGTGACAAAACAGCTCATTTCCCACCTCTCTGTGTTGTTGTGAGAATTCCAATATTAATATTYAAAAATYGCGGTCAAAAACAGCCTGTAAACTCTAACATTTGAAATTGATCGATTTTTGGATTATATGTAAGGTAGTCATAAAATTTAGATTAAGCGAGACTCAATGTTTTCAACAAACTCATTCTTATGTTATTAATGTGCCAACCATGATCAGAATGGCTTTTCACAAGTCGCTTTGTTCTAACAACCAATGGCACATCGATAACAAAGTCTTACGTCACGTTGAATATTGATCCGCTATATTGATAGGTAGTGACTTATCACGAGTTTCAGAGATTAACCGCTAGTGAACAACTCGTTAACAGCTAGTTAACAGTGAGGAAACCCGTGCCTCTTGATATTTGTCAAAAAAACCTGGCTATCAACTGCCAAAACCTTAAGTGATCGAGTTTTCATGAAATCGGCCTTGTTAGGGCTTTTGCAAGTTTAACGTTGCTTTGTGAAGTTGTCCGCACAAACGTACGTGGTATATGTATTGTAATATGCTAAATAAGTCTATCAATGCAAGTATAAGCTCATGTAAAACTAAATTCGACAGCTAGCAGTAAACTTATCACACCAAACTTACCAAGAGAACTTCTCCAGCAAGATTTACGTTTTCCCCAGGCGTTACTGGATATCTTTGRAAGAGCCTCGATTTGAAGTATAGAAATAAAGCTACTACAAAAACCTGGAAATTAAACTGAACAACAAAGACTSAATTTTTCTGAAATTTTCTAAATACATATTTTTATGATCCCACAGGAGAAAGCTTTACCGCTCTATTAATCCATGACTTGAATTCCAATCACTAATCATTGGACTTCCTGTGTTATTTTGTACCTAGTCTCTTCGCAACATCTTTTTCCAAAATGGCGGATTGCCCGCCGATGTCTGAAATCAGGTCTGAAATGGTTTTTGTAAATCAACGAAGATAAAACTGCTAATGCTTGAATGAGGGATGTTCAAGAAAGCTGGGCAGCCCGAGCTGGTTCGCTCCAATCAAAAGGATGTATTTTACGTGACATATTTAAGGGAAATTTCGGGACAGATTTTCAGAGACCTTGCAGGTTTGCAAGATATCAAAGCTGTTTACAAATCATTTAAAATCGATTATAAGGCTGACATGTTTGATGACACCGCTTTTATTTCCACAGGTGTGTACTCCTGGATCAAATGGAAAGACGAATTAGAATTATTGGCTGAAATATGCTACTTTGGACTGACAACCATTTCT